CAGATGCACGCGAAAAAGCGTCTCAATAATTTCACTGTGTCTGGAAAGCGCGCGCTTTTCGGAAATGAAAACTGCAATGATTGCAGTGACCTTTGTGCACCCGGTAACTACGACATTATCATTCCAAGTAAAGCCTGAGGCCGGCCAAGACGTACAATTCTTCCCGCGAGATAAGGGCGCGCGAGGGAGTGTCGCCTCCCTGCTCTAAGCGGGGTAAAGTACGCGTGGAAGATCATGGCACGCACTCACTGCGCCATCTTGCTGGTAATGCTGAAAACACGATAATTTTTTTCCGAGTCCCGTCAGCAGAGGTAAGTGGTAAATATAAATGGCTCGCCGTTTGAACGTTGAGGGAGGCGCTCCTGGGTTGCTCACTGGTTACCGCCTCGCATTCACGACGCGAAATTCCCACGTTCGATCCCGCGCGCCAGAGTCTTTTCTCGATCGTTTAGGGGTGAAGGAATATGGTGTGGCTTGTGCATCCCGTTTGTGGGTAACCGCCCCTCGTTAATTCTTGAACCAGTCATTGAGGGCGGTACTTGCACTATACGCTGAAAAATGGAAATGGCTGACACTAGATGGCGTTATTTGTAGACAAGGATGGACGTTGACCCAGTGCGCAAACAAAGCCACGTGGCACGTACTGACAGGCGCAGAGACTACAAGTGTTGGAAATGAGGGCGAACACACGAGCCGCGTAATTTCCCTGCGTTTGGAAAGGCATGCAGAAAGGGCAAAAAAACAAAAGAACCACTTCGCAGTTTACTGTAGGGTGAGTGCTAATGTCGACGAACTCGAAGAGTCTGAAGACGAGTTTGACGTCCTCGAGATTTCGGTTAACGAAATCAACGGGGAATGTAATTGGACTGTAGAAGCACGCGTGAACAATGCGTCAGTGCAACTCTAAGTGGACACGGTATCTGAAGCTAACTTGCTGCCTTTCGGACCTTATAAAAAATGCACCCGAAGCCACTACTTCAACCGAGCAGTGTGGTTTTGCGTTCGTACGGTGGGGGTCTGATTAAACACTCGGCTGTTATCAGGGCAGAAGTGGAAATTGACAGTCGCAAAGCCATAATGGACTTCTTCATCGTGCGCAACGAACGTCAAGCGATACTTGACCTGCAAGCATGTGAACAAGCAGGACTCCTGTCCCGACAAGTTCACAGGTTATCTGACAATAGCTCGGAGAAAGTGGTTAAAGACTTCCCACACTTGTTTTCTGGCACAGGCTGCGTCCAGCGACGCTACTGGATGGTGCTCCGCGAGGGAGCAAAACCAGTCGTCCAAACAACTCGCTGGGTGCCCCTGGCCCTACAGGAACTACTCAAGGAAGAACTACAGCTCATGGAGCAAGCCGGGACAGCCGTCAAAGTCAAGGAACCTACAGATTGGATGAGCCCACTTGTTCTTGTACGAAAGAAGGACGGCAAGCTCCGTGTTTGCATTGACCCTCGAAAGATTAACGAAAATCTAAAGCGGGAGCACTACGAAATGCCTCAACGTGAAGATATCGAAGCAGAACTCGCAGACGCCGTAGTCTCTTCACGATTAGATGCGAACTCTGGGTTTCATCAAATCCCATTAGATGACGAAACTTCGAGGATTTGTACATTCTCAACACGGTTTGAACGTTATCGGTTTTTGAGGTTGCCATTTGGCATTTCGTCGGCACCAGAGCTCTTTCAGCAGACGCTCAATGAAATTTTCGAAGCAGTCCCTGGTGTAAAAGTGTTTGTTGACGACGTACTAATCTGGGGTACATCAAGGAGAGAGCACGACGAGCGCCTGCGACTTGCATTACAGGCTGCAGAACGGGCGGGCTTGACGTTCAACGAAGCAAAGTGCACAGTCGGCATCGAACAGATCGAATTCCTGGGCGACGTTATCGGCCCAGCCATTCCCTAATAAAGGGCATAATAGAAATGCCGCCACCAGCTGATAAGGTCGCAGTCCAACGAATGCTGGGTGTTGTAAAGTGTTTGGCCAAGTTCGTGCCATCGCTCACTGAGAAAACCACGCTGCTCAGAAACTTGATCAAGAACAACGACGCGGTTTTTGAATGGTCAAAAAACTACGCGCGCTAATCGAAACAACTATGCGATACTTTGAGCAAGCACCCACTGCTAGCAATATTCGATCCCCAAGAAGAAACTAGTGTCCTGTGACGCATCGCAAAATGGAATGGGCGCCGCGCTTCTGCAATGTCATGGTATCCATTGTAAACCCGTGGCTAATGCGTAAAGGTATTATCGGATACGGCGCAGCGGTATTCTCAAATATAAAAAAGAGACAATGGCCATTCTGTACGGCTGTGAACGATTTGACCACTTCGTGTACGGACGCAAAGTAATAGTCGAAACTGATCATCGCCCCTTGATTGTCATCTATTAAAAAGCAATAGGCGATATCCCACCCAGGCTGCAGTGGTTTTTTCTACGGTTATAGCGTTACGACATCGACCTATGCTTTGTTCCATGAATACAGTTGGTGCTCGCCGACATGTTATCAAGGGCTTCAATCAAAGACGACGGTGGTGACATCACGAGTGACGACGCAGACGTGCACGCTGTAAGTTTAGTGTCGTCACTTGTCAGTGACTACACGTGGAACGGGCTTATAACGGAAACCAGCAAAGTCCCGTATCTAAGCTCTGTTCGTAACAGCATTGTTGCCGGCCTGCCTATCAAAGGACAGCTCAAGTGATTTGCTGGCGAGCTATCGTAAGTCAAAGGCGCCCTTCTTAAAGGCTGCAAGATTATAATACCTGCAAACATGCGGAAGGAAATCTTAGAAAAAATCCACCGAGGACACGTTGGCTTGAATAAGAGTAAATTAAGAGCGCGACGTTCAGTAATTTGGTCCGGAATGAATTCTGATATTGACAAATTTGTTCAGACCTGCGCAGTTTGCAAAAAGTATGCGTACTGCCAGACACGAGAGCCACTTCAAATGCGTCCTGTGCCAGACCAAGCCTGGTATAGGGTTGGTATAGACCTCTTTCACTACGGCGGAAAATCGTACCCCTGCTCCTACAAAACTATTCAAACTTCCTCGAAGTTGATATGCTCACAAAAACGTTGGCGAGAGCGGTCATCGAATCAATCAGGGCTAACTGTGCCCGATATGGTATCCCCATGTAGGTCTGTACAGACAATGGCCCACAATTTGCAAGCGAAGAATGTGCTGCATTTTCACGAGCGTATGAGTTCCAACATGTTACCTCCAGTCTAGGATTTGCGCAGTCCAACGAGCTAGCGGAAAAAGGGGTACAAATAATGAAGATGATCTTAAAAAAAAGCATGGAAGCTAAACAAGATGTTTGGCTGAGGCTTCTCTCGTACAGGACGACACCGCTTGAAGCCGATGGCCGATCGCCTGTGGAGCTGCTCCAGGGTTGGATCTTGCGCTCGACGTAGCCGTGCATCCCAAGGAAGCCCGGAACCCCGGTGTTCAAGCGCCGCCAAATGGAGATCACTAAGCGCCCACTGGCTCCTCTAAGTAAAGAAGATTTCGTTCGAGTGAAGATCGGGACGTGGACTACAAAAGCAAAGGTCATAGAGCCGTTGGCTCAAACACAGTCCTATAACGTCCTCACAGAGGGAAGTAGGCTAGTGCGACGTAGCCAGCAACACATTTTACCCCCTCAAGAAGCCTTTCATAAAGATCCTCCAGAGCTTGTCGAATCCGACGACGAAAGTGCTTCAACAAAAGCGACACTAGTGCCAATGCCCACAGCGCCTACTGTGCACAGATCTCCAACCTCTGCGTCACCTCTTCCAGCTCTGCGGAGGTCGCTACGGCGGCGTAGACCTTTCTCGCCATCTAACTTACAACAGAAACTTTGAGCAAATGCCACGAAGCATATGTGCAACCTGTGTTAACGATGGGACTGTCGTACAGATGAACCAGTGACGTAATCTACGCAAACTGCACTTTCTTGTGTTCTTTTCAAGTTCCATGTTGTCTCCTCTCAAACAGAGGGGGATGTATCGAGTGTGTTATCTGAAGCGAGCCCGCGCTATGCGCACATGGTGCTCCGCGCAGGCTGTCACCCTTGCCCCTCACATGTACATAAGCACACTCGATTAAAGGCAGTGGGTCGTTCCCCAGCAACACGAGCCTGGCGTCTTGCTTTATCGCATCGCGCGATACAATAACGACCGCTTTAAGATCTAACGAGAGGTGGCTACATTCACTTACGGCGGGACGCACGACCCACAGAGCTTCGCGCCTAAAAGGGCATGTTGAGCGCACCTCAACATAAGGCCTCTCTGCACTGCATCTTCGAGTTTCTGCACCCTTCTGCACTTGGGAGCCTCACAACATATTTATTTGATACTGGGAATCACACGAGCAGTTATGCTTTCAGAAAGTTGTGAAAAAACACATGTACATTTTACTCTTCATGTAGAGTTCATTGAAAATATGAGCAAAATTTCATTTGAGCCGAGCTAGGTAGGTGTTAATCAAAAATAAGTACAACACATTAATAAATGTGTAATGCAGTATAACCTTGTTATAACTTGTTAAATATGCTGTAACTACTTTTTCTATGAAGCTTTGACAAGGTTACAACCTTTTTTGCGGTAATAAAATTTGTTGTATCAAGTATGATAAAGGGGACTATACAGAGTAAAACAAATAAGGCTGATTTTGTGTTGACCATAGCAGCTGTCATTAAAGCATGAAGTGTGCCCATTACCTTCGATGAAATGGGTGTCACAATCCTTGCTTTTTTTTAACTATAACTTGATCCCTGACATTCACATTGTTTATCCATAACGCAAGACGTTAGAAACAGGCACATTGGACCTGCAAAGTGTGTAAACAGCCACAGAAAGGCTGCCAGAAGTTAACAATGTTCTTACAGGCAAAAATTACCACGTTGAGTAATACAGCATAACTATTTTATCTCCATAAGACTCTCCAGCGATGTAAAAGTCATTATACCTGCACTCGGTGAATATTCTCAAGAAGCGCCTAAGAAAGCGTCCAACCTGTAGAGACACCTCGTCGAGTGTGCCAGGGTATTCTTCTTTCTTCACTGAAGCTGTATCCTGCTCCTGCCGGCTGGCCAAGGTAGATGACATTGAAATCTCGTATAAGAGAATAGGTGCGGTGGTACAGCTTTCCATCGGCATCAATCCCCAGGGGCCCATTCGAAAGAAACTGACCAAAGAGCGAGGACACACCGGGACTACCTTGCAGCCACAGAAGTAGAGGTTTTCGGGCAGGGTTTATCTGCAAGTGTTGAACATAAAGAGAAAGAAGACACTATGAGTAAAATCAACTTTTGTGGGAAATGTGTGTTTTAAATGCAAGGATGGTACCTTACTACACGAAGAAAGCAGATTGGCAAGACTATAGTCATTCACAAAGTTCTGAAATAAGGAGAGGGGGACGCAGGGTTTCATCACAGTCTGGTCATCTGCCTGGCTAATTGTTGGTCGAGTCTGAATGGCCGATTGTTGCACAATGATTCAAAATTGGTAATGAAATAATTAGGTGTCCTGCATTTGGTCGCAGGTTTTCCGGGAGTAAAGGCGGGAAGTAAGCGTATGTTAGAATTGAACATGAGGGGCCTTTCTACAACCATTCGCCAAAAGCCTTAGTTGTCATAATCCTGTACATCAAGCAAGTCAAGAGGAGTAACACTACGGCTTGCGCCCCTCTCCACATAAGGGATTAGTCTTTGCGTCGGCTACTCGACTTCCTCGACACATATGGTTGCCCCGAGGAAAAAGAAATCACGGCATATTCACGGAGTGAATGATGATGAGTGGGGCGAAGCTTCGGAGGGTTTTATCGGTAAACCGTGAATTGCCCATCTGTCTGTCCGTCCGTCTGTCTATCCTTTTTGTCTGTCTGTCCATCCTTCCGTCCGTCCACCTGTATGTCCATTCATTCGTCTGTCTTTCCGTCCGTCCGTATGTCTGTTCGTTCGTCTGTCTGTCCATCCATCTGTATTTCTGTCTGTCTGTCTGCATGTCTCTCTGTCCATACGTTCATCTGTCTGTGCTTCTGTCCAACTGCCTGTCTGTCTGTTCATTCGTCCGCACCTGCTGAGTGAGTCATCGAACTAAGCTGTAGCGTACGAGCTAAAAGAGACAAACTCACGGACTTAGGAGATTCACTTCTAAAAGTAAAATTAAAGAAACAAACAAATAGCAAGCAAGCTGAAAACACAAAGAAACTAACATGGGAATGGATAGCTTGGCGATAGGAGCTTTAGGTACACGCTGAAGAACCTCAAATAATAAAAATTTCCGGAGCGCTTTAATGCAACGTCTGTCATGATCATTCAGTGGTTATGGGTCGTTAAACCCTAACATATATTATTAATAGTTTACAGTGCAGTGTTACAGTGACACCCACAAAATTCTATCTCAGTTGTAGCTAAGGTATACTGAGTAGCATATTACTTGATGGATAACATCACTTGGCCATAATTCACAGCCACGTATATCTATACTCTGTTTCTGTAGTTGCGTGCAGCATTGTGAAAGCTGCAGTCCTCGACCAATCATGAGCACAAGCACACCAAAAAAGACCATGGTGCGCGCAATTGAACGTGCGACATCCACGTCGTAAATGCGAGGCGTTAACCACTGTTTCCAGACACTAAGTACTAGAAAAATGCCGTAAAAGTCATGAAAACAAGTGGTGACAGTCCCAATGAATATACACTAGCTTTAAAATTCCTTGAGAGCAGTCGGGTGTTCCACCCTCGACAACCACTCAGGAATAGACTCCTGTGTTTTCGTAAGTTCCACACATTTCGTCGTGCCCTCTCGAAAGTACATTCTTGCGGGCCGTGCATCTCAATGACAGTGAAATCCTACCTTACGGGCCCGCCATAAACAGCGGAGGCCGGTTAACATAAAGTAAATGGCAAAACGATCCTTATTTTCAATTGGCAGAAATCTGATACCATGAGGGTTTAGCGGGAATTCCTTTTTGATTGTCCTCTGTAATGCATCCCAAATATACACTCCCTTCCAGCAATGCAAAAAAAAAAACGTGGTCAATAGTTGCTGGATTCTTACAAATGAGACAGTCGGACCACCTAGGTAGAAAAACACCCCACACTTCTAGAAATATCTTGACGTGCAAATTGCTGGTGTGAAGCCTAAAAAAAAGAAGGTCTTTGCGGCAGGAGCCACTCGCAATATTTTAGCTCTTTTTAGCACGGCCAGCCCTTGACACCTATTGTATATGACCCTGTACATTGAAATGGGTAGAGTTGTATCACAAGCATCTATGTAGAGCTTTTTGCGCGACACAGATAATAAGTACTCATTGTAAAATCTGACAGACAAAAAAGCGGACACTCAAGATTACCTCCTTGAGATATCTGTGGAGATTGATGTGGTCTGTGCCCACTACATATCCAGGTAAAGGCCTCGTGAGCCTCAGTTGGCACACCGTACGCGGCAATGGATCACTCACGTTACAAAAAAAGAAAGACCTGTTTATGAGTTGACTTATGAATAGGTGTGAAAGCCCCAAACCACCTTTATTTACACGCCTAAATAAATTAGTTCGACTGCGTAGTTCACAATTTGAGGCCCACACGAACAGCGCGAAGAGATGGTGGAATTTCTGTATATTGGCCCGTGAACAATGCAGTACCTGTATCACGTACCACAGTTTCGAGACAAAGAACAAATTACAAACCGTAGCTCTCGGGAACATTGATAGGTGATTCCTCTGCGACCTATTCGCCTTCAACTGAGTTTCTCTTGCCTGTTCTTGCCAATAGTCATCATTGTCTTTGTAGTGTTCAATAGTAGTACCCCTAGGTATTTGACAGGTGACGTCACCCACTTCAGATTGGCGAAAAATTCCGGTGTGGATGACCACTCTCAGTGCCAAAAACCCGAGCACTTTCCCCAGTTCACCCGACTACCAGTGGCCTTGCTGAAACTCTTCACTACAGTTAAAACCTCTGCCACACTTCCTTTGTTTCTGCAACAAACTGCGACATCATCCGCATATGTCAGAATTTTAACTTCTGATGTCTGCAACCTAAAACCATGAATGCTGCTGTTTTCACTTACTGCTAAGCATAACGTTTCTATATAGATGCTGAACAAAAGAGAACTGAGCGGGAATCCTTCATGGGCGGAACGCCTAATGATAATGGGGGCCCATAATGGGGGCCCATAACTACTAAAGCTGTCAGGCAATTGCGATATGCCAAAGCCACACCATCTCTTATTATCAAACCAACATTCACATGGTCTAGTATGGCAAGAAGCAGGACATAAGGAACACAGTCAAATGCCTTTTCGAGATCGAGCAGCAAAATTGCCACACGACCTTCTGCAGCGTCACACCATTCGATAACGCATCGCATTTTCTGTATATTGGTCACAATGGAATGTTCCATAATAGCACAAGTTTGGTGAGGCACCAGCAATTTTTTGATGACACCCTGGAGCCGCTGCACAAGTACTTTCATCAAGAGTTTGTAGTCGCAATAAGTCAATGACGTATGGCCATATGACAAAACTAGTTTTAACTTCGCTCTCTTTTCGGTCCTTGGTATCGAAATAATATGGGCTTCACTAAAGGACCGAGGCAGGCTATCTAGTTTACTGACTCGTTAAAGACTTCTGTAAGCAGTCTGGATAACTCACGCTGAAATGTTTTATAAAACACAGCACTCAGGCTGTCAAGCCCCGGTGACTTACCAGTATTGAACTTATCTATGGCCTTTTTTACTTCTGTTCTGATACAGGCTGTTTTAACACTGCTTTTCTGTCATAAGACAACCGCAGAATTCTGTTGGGGAAAGACTCTTTGAACATCTCCTCCTCAACTGATCTAGAAGCGAATAGAGCCTCGTAGTGCTTAAAAAAGCCCGTTCAATGTTATCATTGTCTGCCGTCTCTATACGATTGCATTCGATAGTTTGCATGGTTCCGCCTTGCGTGACTTTTCTTGAGTCCTACTGGTCATTTCGTTAAATTTTCATCTACGCTCATTTGCATTGCTCTGGCTCGTACTAGGACCCCTCGATAGCGCTGTTCATCATAGATCTCCAGCTTCTTTTTGATATTGCACAAATCCTCGACATACACACCAGGCTTTTCACATTTCAGTGCTGTCAGTTTCTGTAGCGACAATTTTAGCTCTCTCTCTCTCTTTCTTATTCGATTCGAAGCAAGGACACTTGATCGCTCAATCGCTATCATTTTGATCCGCTGTTATAAAAGGTGCCACTCTTCTCCTAATTTCTACACATATGAACTTCTTCAATTAGTTTGATTTTATTCAGAATAGCTAGGTTGAAAGACTCGTCACTTACAAGATTGGAGTTAATTTTCCCCTGATTCCACGAAAATCTACTGTATTCTTTCTTCGCACCTATCTGGCATACTACTAGGCAATGATCAGAAAAGGCAATCGTAACAACGTTATAGCAACTACATTGTGATATTATGTCAACTGATATGTACAGTTAGTCTCATCGGACATTGCTTGCACTTTGAAAGTTGGTAAACTTGACTGCCTGGCAACTTTCTAGGCATTCTGCAACATCCACTAACTCATAGTCTCCAATCATCTGCGCCAGCACATCATTGCTTTTGTCTTTGAACTTTGACTGCTTGATCTATCTCTTTCTTTCCGTACACAATTGAAATTCCCTACCAACATGAGCTTATTCTCATTGCACATGAACTGTCACACATGAACAAAAAAGTTTTGGCACTTCTGCAACGTAGTTGGAGCATATACGCCAAAAACTCGCCATTCACTGTCACAATAAACAATGTCGCACATAACTAATCGGCCTGACGGATACTCCAATACATTCTGTACTACTAAACCAGGCAATTTTCTTACAAAGAGAATGCATCCCCCTGATCTACTTACTGCATGGCTCACAATGACAAAATACCACGCCGTGAACTTTCGCTCCACGCTCTCTGTCCCCTCCTCACCCTCCACGTTCGTCTACTGCACTGCCAATATATCGAAATTTTCGTCCAACAACAACCGATACACTAGGCCTTGTTTATTCCTGGAAGCAAGGCCTCCAACATTCAGAGTTGCAAATCTGGGGAATATGGCAGGAGCCATTTTAGCGTTGTGGGTGAAGTGGGCCCGGAGCATGGGGCTTACCTAGCACGCCTGACGTAACGCTAGACGCCTCTGGGACCACCTGGTGGACCATTCTCGCTACCCACTGAGAACGGATTGTCCACAGCTTTCCTCTCCATAGCACTACCAGG